CAATAGATGCTTCCACTTTTTATTGTGGAAAGGAAACTTAGAAACTTCTGTCACCTGTTGGCGCCTAAATTTTGTTTAAAAATTGACGGGAAGTCACAAAAACATGAGTTGACATTGTTGCGTCCGATATTCGGACGCAGTAATTCGAAGGAAGCAATAGCGTATGTGTTGAGGAAGTTTATGGACGCAGCAATGATAGGATTTTGTATATATATATATAAAAAATAATAATTATAATAACAATAACATAAACCAAAGAGGTCCACAAACCATAAAATTGCGCCTGATCTCTCCATATAAAAAAAAAACAAACAAAAAACCAAACAATAAGCAAATTGAATTTAGGTACCCAATTAATTGGTTCTATACATTTTGTGACATCAAGAATAATTTAACCTTCTTTGCAAATAAAGCAGGGCTGGATATTCTTGAAATTTCCGTTGGTAAGGAATTGTAGGAGCCCAAAGCACGACGAATTATACTATTCTTCCCTACATCTGTCCTGGATCTTGGAATATACATTTGGTCACAGTTTCTAGTTAGATGGTTATGCAGGTCGCAGTTTTTCTTGAGCACTATTTTAGATTTTATTTGTCCATTTAGAATTTTCTCCATTAGTTTACATTCTTCCAGCTTAATTATCTGCTCTATTTTTAGGAATTTATAATTTTTGTATAGCTCACTGGTATGGTAAAGTCTTGGAAGGCTATAGAGACACTTCATAACACGGTTTTGAAGTCTTTGTAGTTTTTGGATTATTGTGTTTGAAGCAGCTGCCCATAAGGTACTCATATATTGCACATGTGATTTGAATAGGGATTCATACACGGAGAGTTTGATAGGGTTAGGAAGAAAATTTGCACATTTTCTCATTGCACCACAAGCACTGGAAAGTTTTTTCTGTAGTTTTTCGATGTGAAATTTGAATGACAGATCCTCGTCCACTGTTAGACCCAAGTACTTATAAGCTTGCACCTTTTCTAAGATGATTTTATTCAGTTTAATTTCATATTGCCTGGCACATTCCCATATTTCTGCTTACAGTCATCTGCAAAGAAGAAGAACAGGAAGACCGAACGGGGATTGAGAAATCTCTCTGCGAGCTCTTGGCTTATTATGGATGGGCTTCTATGGATGGACATTATTCACTTGCCCTAGTGAAGAGAAGAGTATCCAACTGAATCATCAGTCTTTTACGATCCCTACACCCTAATCTAAGGCCCATGGTTTTCTTCTGCTGCTGGCAAAAGCGGGCAAAGGTTGGCTATTGCCGTTTAGGTTTTGTTCCATGTTCTTTCGATATGACTTCCATTTCCAGTGAATTTAGCAACGAGAATCCTAAAGCAGCAAGCTGTCGTCAATTTGACGACGTTTTTTCGTATTAATTATTTAATTTTGAGATTTTTATGAAGGCAAAACAATTTAAAAGGGAAAATGATTTTAAATATCTTTAGGTAAGTGAAGGGAAAATCTTCCTGCAAGATTAAATTGACTCAACACACGGATGATCTAAAAAACTAATAACAAAAAAAAATCTTAGTATTGAATACATAAACATTCAAAGCGTGAGAAATAAGATCGACGAAATTCAGTGTAACCTTGGGGAGTGACATTTTAGTGCTGACAGAAACGTGGTAATATGAAACTGAAACACCCTTCAATAACATTGGGGGTACACTCTTGCCGAAAATCCAGAGGCGGCGACGCTGCGATATTTGAAGAGATACCTTCAAATTCCATGAACTAGCTAGAAGTACTCCGGATAAATTATATAACTGAACTGGGTATGTGTTAGTATAGGGAGTAAGAACCTTAAGCTTAGTGTTATTTATAGACCACCATCGTATTATAATGAATTTGTAGAGGAATTAGAATATATATTAAATATATTATATCCATCCAATCACATTGTAGCTAGTGGGTGATATGAATGTACTCCTCTTTCGGATCACAGGTTACTGAGCTTTGATTACAAGGAAAGAGTGTCCAATAACAAACAAAAGATATTCATTCAAAAACAATATTTAAAAATTGACAAATACAAAACATTAGTTTGCCAGAAACTTCAAAATACCTCAATAACTACATTTCAAAAACTAATAGAATTAATTACTCAAGCAAAAACAGAATCACAAACAGTTAAAAAACTAAAAGTACATCAGAACAATGAGTGGGTAACCCCTGATCTACTAAACCTAATTAAAAAAAGAAATAATTCGTATAAAAAATATATTAAAGATAGAGAAAACCCTGAACTTGCAACTTCATTTAAAAATTTAAAAAACCAGGTAAATAATAAGATTAAGCAACTTAAAAATAAATACCTACTTTAGAAATAAATGGGAAAATGCGGGTAACAATACAAGGAAACAATGGAACATAATTAACTATTTTATGAGTAATAAAGTAGAAAAATGTAAAATAAGTGAAATGAATATAAAGGGTTCAGTGAGCAATGATCTGAAAGAAATTACCTCTAGTTTGAATGAGTATTTTTCGGAAATAGGCTCTAAAATAGTTGGTTAAGTGGAATTGGAAAAAATGGAGCTTGGTGTAAACGTCGATTTAAGCGAGGTCACAATTAATAAAACCTTCTTTTTACTGCCAACAGCTTGGTACGAATAGTCAATGAAATTTTAATTAACCTCAAACGTAATGCTGCGGCAGGACATGATAATACAGTTCTCGATCTTCTAAATATTAAAGATGCCATTGTGGATATCCTAGTAGACCTAATAAATAAAAAACTTACCTCAGGCGAATTTCCTGATGAATTAAAAATAGTCAAAAATCTGTCCCATTTACAAGACAGGCTCAAAAATTATTACAACAAATTATAGACCCATATCTCTAATAAGTATATATTTTCAAAAATAATTGAGACTGCAATAAAAGCAAGAATGCTTTCCTTTATTGATAAATTTATAAAAAGTGATCCATATCAATATGGCTTCTCGAATGTAAGATTTTAGATGTAGATCTTCAAGATGCTGCGTGAATTTTACATGAGTAATTAATGTTGCTAATAGTATCAGTGCAATAATATATACTTTTTTTGGTTCCTAGGGGTATATATTTTTCTATTTTCTCACTGTATTTCTTTGTTACGTTAATATCCTGTAATAGATATAAGGTAGGTTGTTTTTTTGTTTTTTCTCTACCAGTGTAATATGGGGTCTATTGGCCGGTATTGTTTTATCTGTGTGCATTATCAGGACGTAGTATTAGTTTGTAGTTTTTATCTTCGAGAATGCTTTCGGCTGTATATTGGTAGTATGCTTTGGTCTCTTTTATAGGGTTATGTGATGTGCAATTTCTTGGTGTATTATTTTTGCTGTTATATTGTCTTTCTGTATATGACGTTCCTGCTAGAATTTTACAGCCCCCTATGATGTGCTCTACATTTTCTTGTTGTAGGTGACATTTTCTACATAAATCATTATCTATGTTATTCTTCAATATGTGTTTTTGGTAACTTTTCGTGGCGATCACTTGATCCTGAATACCGAGTACGAATCCTTCAGTTTCTGGAAATAGTTCACCTTTTTGTAACCATTTATATGTGCTTTGTCTGTCAATATTTTCTTTATTCATTATATGAAAGTGTTTTCTGTGCCCACTGTTCAGTTCACTTCTTTCTTCACGATATGTTTTTTCGCATATTGTAGGATAGTTCTTTTCTGAAAGATTAAGTGGTGTAGGTATATCTATTGTCAGCTAGTGATATTGCTTCATGTAGGGGGTTTGATTTACCATGGAAGAAGCTTCTTATAGAATATTTGTCTTGCACGCAGTAAGTGAATATCTATAAGTCCTGTTCCTCCGTCTTCTCTCCTTATGACCATTCTCTCTTTACAGGCGTTAGGGTGGTATTTCCTGTGTATTGTGAGTTGTTTGTTTGTGGATTCGTGGATTTTGTCTATGTCGGTTTTTGTCCATTTGATTATTCCAAAGGAATACGTGAGAAGAGATATAGGATATAGCGAATGTGTTTATTGCTTTAAAGAGGTTTTTCGAGTTCAATTTGGATTTGAGAAGCAGTTTTAAACGAAGAATGTAATGCCTTAACAATTCCTTTTTGATGAGAGTGTGTTCTAGCCTTGTATTTTGCTCAAATCTTAAGTAGGTACTTATAAGTTTCGATTTTGTGCATTTTGTTTAGTGTCTGCAACTGTAATGTTTCATCTGATATCTCCTCCTTTCACCCACATAACAAAATTGCATCCTTAGAATGTAATGGGAATGTCCTTTTTTTAGGAGGAATGTGCCTAGAATGTTCGCCAAAACCATTGCGAATGTCCTGAGAATGTTCTGAGAAAAGATTGTAATTGGGACGTTTACCTTACGCAGTTTTTCAAGTAGAATCCAGGGGCATGACCAATTTTTTTTCCAGATGCCTCCTATTTTGGAATATTGACTAAAGTTGTGTCTTTTTAAATGGGACACCTCGTATATTATTTTTTCATTGAATAGCTGTTTGTGAGCTTTTTTCAATGATATAAGGTTTTATACCTTTATCCCATTTTGACGTTTAAAAATGACATTATTAAATGCAAAACAATAAAAGTAAGTAGACGTTTATCACCTCATAGTGATTTAAAAACATTTTAACTCACTCTCGGCATTTTAAGTCACCCTGCCTAACTAAAAATCTGAAACCTCAGTGATTTGAAATATTTTTAACTCACTCCCGGCATTTTTCCTTGTACTTTATTTTTTAAATTTCCACAAAATGGGATAAAATTTTGTATATATCACGTGAGTTAAAATGTTTATTTTTACAAACATTAACAAACATTCATTTAACTCACTTGGTGTATAAATAACTATTATCCCATTGATTGTGACGTTTAAAAATTACATTATTGAACGCATAACAATAAAGGTAACTAGACGTTTATCACCTCAGTGATTTAAAAACATTTTAACTCACACTCGGCATTTTAAGTCACTCTGCCCAACTAAAAATCTCGCTCCCGGCATTTTTTCTTGTGCTTTATTTTTTAAATAGTTACAAAATGGGATAAAATTTTTACATATATCACGTGAGTTAAAATGTTTATTCATTAAAAACTTTCTTCTCATGAATAAACATTCATTTAACTCACTTGGTGTATAAATAACTATTATACCTTCAATAGTTCTGGAGAAAAAAAATAAATTCCGTTTTTTCCATAAGAAAATGAATTAGAAAAAGATAGTTGAACTATAAATCGGCTAGGTACAAATTTCTTAATTCCTAATTTGGGCTATGAATCGGGTGTGATAAATAGGCAACACATAATTTTTCAGATCCTCGATCCTGTCCCTTTTTTCCTTGCTTCTGTTAGCACAGCTTCGTTCATTCTTCTTCTATTTTGCCACCTTTACCACCCAAAGTTTAGGGAATTTGGCATGAACGGAAACGAATTATCCAGCCAATTATAGAAGCAGCGACGTGCCAAAACGAAAGTCGGACACCGAGGAAAAAAGTCAAGTCAGTGGTGAATTTAGACGCCAGTAAGTCAACAAAAATTGAATTATTACTGCAACCTGGAACGCGAGATAATAAAACAATGAGTCGCAGTGTATACGTGTAAAATACTTAGGTTTAATGATTAAAACAAGCACAATTAATTAAGTATTTTATTATCAAAACATGCAGCTTCTCAGTAGTAGGAACAACGCTCCCGCGCACCAGCTGGTTCAGGTTGCCAGTTGCCCGTCCGACAGTTTACATCTTTTTTGTAGGTCATCTATTAAACCAGCATTTGGATATTATGGATAGGCAACCAACATAACATGTGGTTGGCCTACGCTGTTAATATACTATATTAAACATCTTTCTTCCTAAAGATCTAGCCTAACGGGCTTTTTAATCATTCGCCCAGATCTACTACATAAGGGCTTATTTGCTAAGATTTCTTCATCAAGGGTTTTAGTTGCATCATTATTAGAGTCGCAATTCTGAGTCAATGTTGGAGTATTGACAGAGAGATCATCATCGCTATCATTGTACTTTGCATAGGCATTTTCAACCGGGTTTAAACTTGGATTTAAATCAACCCTATTGCGTCTAATAATGTTGCCACTAGCATCTTTAACATTATAGGATCTTGGGGCATTATGAGAACAAATAATTTTCCCGGGTTCCCAAGTTTTGTTAATGTGATTGAAAATTGTTACATCATTTTCACTCTTAAACGGTATCAAGTCTTTTGCAGATTTATCAAAATATTTTTTATTGATATTACGTTTTCGTTCTATTTTTGTTACAACATTTTCACATAATTTGGGCATCAATAACTCATTAGAGACTGGAATCCTGGTTTTGGTCATACGACTATTCAATAACTGAGATGGGGAGTAGCCCATGTTTTTCAGTGGGGCATTTCTATAATTCAAAAGTGCCAACTCAAGATCTTCTCCTTTCTCTAAAGATTTTTTTATAAGTTTTTTTGATATGTCAACGGCTTTTTCTGCAAGGCCATTTGATCTAGGATAGTTGGGACTTCTAAATGACAATTCAAAATTCCAATCTTGTGAAAATGTTATAAATCTATGACTATTATATGGCACATTGTCACATACTAATAAATCTGGCGGACCAAATCTCGCAAACACACTCCTAAGTTCATTTATTACACTTTGTGCACTCTTGTCATTAATTGGTAAAAGTTCCAGCCAATTTGAAAAAGCATCAAATAATACAACATAACTTTTATTCGCAAAAGAAAAAATATCTGTTCCAATTCGTTCCCAACATCTAGTGGGAAGATGAAACTGATGCAACAATGTCTCTTTACAATTTTTACGTGCAAATTTTTCACACACTTTGCATGATTTTATAAATGATTCAATGTCTAATGCTTGCCCAGGCCAGTAAAATATTTGACGTGCTCGGTTTTTTGTTTTTTCTATTCCTAAATGACCTTCGTGTAGTACTTTCAACATTTCTGGTCTTAATTTTGTAGGCACTATGATTTTATTCTCTAAAAATAATAAATTATCTGAAAGGAAGATTTTATCTTTGAGCTTTGCATAAATTTTGACATTATCAGGAATTTTATACTTTTGCATGGGCCAGCCATGATCGAGAAAATCAATAACCAACTTCAATTGAGGATCATTGACTGTTTCTTCTCTAAATTGTTGTTTCCGCTCATCTGACATTGGAATGTATTTTGTAACAGTATGAATAGAAAATTCAATTTCAGAGTCTGCCTTCAACCCAGTAATATTTAGAAATGCTCTGGAAAGAGTGTCAGAAATATACATCTGCTTTCCAGGCTTATAAGTTATTTTAAGATTATAATTCAACATCTTCAATCTCATCCTTTGTAACCTAGGAGAGACTGAATGAAGATCTTTTTTAAAAATTGTCTCCAAAGGTTTATGATCACTGTGTACTGTTACATCAAGGCCATATATAAACAAATGGAATTTCTGCACAGCAAAGAGGATTGCTAAAGTTTCCTTCTCAATTTGCGCATATTTTTTTTCAGTGTTGGTAAGGCTTCTTGATGCAAAAGCAACAGGGTGACCTTCCTGCAGCAAACATGTACCAAGGCCATCTTTGGAGGCATCTGTTTCTATAATAATATTTTTTTCTGGATTAAAGAAAGTTAAAATTGGGGCGCTGGTGAGCAAATTCTTAAGTTCCAACACAGCTGTTGAGTGGCTTTCATTCCAATGCCATTGAACATCTTCTCTAGTCAGTTCTCTTAATGGTGAAGTTATTTTGGATAAATTTGGTATGAACCTACCAACAAACTTCACCATACCTAAAAATCTCAATAATGCAGTCTTATTTTCAGGATTAGGCATTTCAGTTATTGCCTCTACATAGGCCTTATTGATAGTAATACCATCCTTAGAGAATATCTGGCCTAAAAATTTTACACTTGGTTTTTTTAGCTGAATTTTAAGTTTATTGAATTTTATGTTATATTTTGAAGCTCTCTGTAAAACTGTTCTCAAATTGGAATCATGCTCCATTTCAGTTGAGCCAGTAACAATGAGATCATCAAAATATAACTCAACACCCTCAATATCTCCAAATAACTCGTAATTCTTTTTTTGGAAAACCTCCGGTGCTGAGGAAATTCCAAAGGGCAATCTCAAAAATTGGTAGCGTCCAAATGGGGTACCAAATGTGCATAGATCAGAGCTGGAAGAGTCAAGTTCAATCTGCCAATACCCATCACGCATATCTAAAACACTGAAAAAACGTTTGCCTGCTAATTTTGAAGAAATTTCTTCCAAAGATGGGATCAAAAAATGTTCCCTTCTGATGGCTTCATTCAATTGCTTTGGATCCAGGCATAAACGCAAATCTTTATTACTCTTCTCTACAATTACCAAAGCACTTAACCATTCAGTTGGCTTATCAATTTTTTTTATTATACCTTCTTGTTCAAGATCATTCAACTTTTTTCTTAAACGGTCATGCAAAATTCTTGGAACACGTCTAATTGGAGTAATTTTTGGAATTGCTCCTTCCCTTAATGATATGTGATGGGTATTGGGAAATTTCCCCAGCCCTGTGAAAACTTCCGGAAATTCTTTTTCAATATCATCTACAGTGCTAAATACTGGCGTATTATCTACATCGACACTATCAATACGCTTAACAACATTCAGTCTAATAGAATCAGCTAGTCCCAGTAATGGTACTTGACCTTTTACATCAACAATCACAAACAGAATTTTTCTTATGACATCACTAGTCAAGTTACTAGTTTTGCATGGTAATATTACCTCACCAATTGCACTAATCTTAAATTTTGAGCTTCCATATGAAAGCAATGAAATATTAGAATTACTAATGGGTATATTTAAGTCCAAAGATTTAAAAACATGCAATGGTAGTATGCTTATCTCTGCCCCTGTATCGATTTTAAATTCAACAATCTTATCATAAATAAATACCTTTTTTGTCCAACATTTGCCTATTCTATTTTCTTGATTTTCAACTGCTCCTATCAACTTGATAACAGAATCAACATAAAACTCTGTGTCTTCACTCTCACTTCCACTATGCTCATTCTCACCTTCTTTTTGCATCACTTCATGCACTTGCCTGTCACTATACTGTCTGTTTGTTTTAAAGTTTCTGCCTCGGTTTCTGTTCAAGTCCCTATTGTTCTCCTGTTCATTTGGGCACATCTTGGCAAAATGATTTCTTGCCTGGCACTTTGCACATGTTTTATTATATGCGGGGCACATTCCACTTGCTCGATGGATATACCCACAATATTTGCATGTCTTGGGCTTTGTACCTGTCTGTTCCCCAACTTTGTTTCTTTCATACTTTATTGCATTAACTTGCGTTTCAGTTTGAAGAGTTTTAGCCTGATTTTTACTCGCCTCTATAGCCCTGCAAAAGTCTATACACTTTGTCAAAGTTAAATTTGCCTCTCTTAAAAGCCTTTCCTGGGTGCCTTTATCGAGAATCCCAATTACTATTCTGTCACGAATCATATCATCAGAATCTTTATATTCTGTAGTTTTAACAGCCCTGCGTAACTCTGTTAAAAAGTTATCGAACGTTTGTCCATCTTTCTGGATTAATGAATTAAACTTGTATCTCTCAAATATTAGATTCTTTTTGGGGGCACAGTATTCTTCAAATTTCTGCCTGACTTTATCTAGCTTTTTCTCATCACCTGTGGCAAAAGTGAAACTGTTAAAAAGTTCAAGGCCTTCATCTCCCAAAAGATTCAGGAACACAGCTACCTTTTTTTCTTCTTCTTTTGATGCAAAATCAGTTGCGAGCATGAACAAATCAAACTTTTGTGAGAAGCGCTTCCAATTATCAGACACATTGCCATCAAGAACTAGGGGCTCCGGTGGTTTAAAAATGCCTTCCATTTTGTGCTGAATAGTCAAGAATTCCACACAGTGAAATAATTTGTTTCAGGCTCCTAACCTCAACTACAAGCACAAACAAACGGAATTTTCACTAGCTAGCACAGTAAACCTTTTCACACCTGACACCATGTAAAATACTTAGGTTTAATGATTAAAACAAGCACAATTAATTAAGTATTTTATTATCAAAACATGCAGCTTCTCAGTAGTAGGAACAACGCTCCCGCGCACCAGCTGGTTCAGGTTGCCAGTTGCCCGTCCGACAGTTTACATCTTTTTTGTAGGTCATCTATTAAACCAGCATTTGGATATTATGGATAGGCAACCAACATAACATGTGGTTGGCCTACGCTGTTAATATACTATATTAAACAATACGCACCTTAATAAGTTAGTCTCAATCAATGCCGAAATGTTTTCTTTTCATCGCCCAGCTGATAAATAACAAATAACCTAGAATTTTTTTCAGATAACAGTGCCTTAATTATTATTATTAGTTGAGCTTCAGCGTCGGTTATAAGTTATAAAAGTAGAAAAAGATAATTCAAATAACTAATTTAGTACAGTGTATAAGTGTTGTTGATGTGATTTTAAAGTTAAAATGTTGGAACCCGTATTGAGTCAGCTGAACAGCATGAGAGTAGTTTTAGCTAGTAGTTCCAAACAACGAATTAGCTTGTTGAAGAGTACGGTAAGAGATGGAGCCAGCTAACACAATGTGTTTGGTCTATTTAAGGGCTGGTTTCTCAATAGCAAGTCACCCCCGGGTTAAGCAAGCATAACCCCAAGGGGAACATTGCAACTGAACACATTTACCTTGGAGGTAATTCGCTATTGAGAAACCGACCTTTAATGAATATTTGTATGTGCTTGATTGCTCCACATCTACAATGACCACAAAGTGGCCTAACTGGTCACAAATGAGTTTAACAAAACATAATACAAATAGGTACCTATATAGAATATGGATACAAGCTGTCTTTGATTAGATACCCTACCATATACGACTCGTGCAGAAAATTATCCTTATCTATTGCAGGCTTAACATGTTAAAAATTCTGCACATAAACTCACCCTAATTAATTTCTTACCTCAACCATTGAGGTTTTTATTTCTTATTATTCTATTTGCTCTGGACAGTTTTTTTACCATCAAACCTGATTTATGATTTTAAAATTTTCTGGTGGAGCGATGACCAAAGCGCAGGTTCCTGACTTTAAATTTGTTCCGAAAAGACCAACCGAATATAATATACCTATCTCTTTCACATGATGCGTTTTTTCGACGGGCCGCAGTGCAGAACTGATGGACCAGCAACGAAACCAGTAAAAAAAGGTTTCATACGTTTTCACATATAATATTAAATACCTAGTTGACGCACGGATATGTCTGAACGGCAAACTCGTCCATAAACAGGCGTATGTTTTTTAGTTTTTACCGAGGTTTTTACCAAATGATCCGTTGTTGTACCGGACCCTCGACCGGACCGGTATGGACAATGTAGAAGTAGAAACCTATCCGTTAAAACACCGATATCGAGACCGATATCGGACCGTTATTTGAAGTTTCTTCTAAGTTGTTTGACCTTGAAACCAAAAAAAAAAATCCCTTCTTTAATGACTGGGGGCCTGGGCCCCCCCTGGAAAAATTACCTAGCTATGCCCATGGTTAATGCTAGCATATTTTTTTTAGTTGCCCAGTTTCTGAAATAATTTTCTCACGTACTTGGGTCCAACAAAAAGATATGTAGGCGAGTATGTAGGTATCATGTGACCTTCAACTTTTTCAAATAGACCCCCCATTTTTTGTTCCATTTTTGAATTCTACATAAAAATCTGATCATATTTCAGGTATCGTTACTTATTTTTACCCAAAACTACACATAAAAGGAAAAATAAAGAGGTGTTCATTAATGACATTGAAATGTCAGTTGTTATGTGTTGATATTTTCAAATGGAATGGAAAGAAGCCCACATCATCCCAATTCATTAAAAAGGCAACAAGCTTTCTCCAAAAAATTATCGTCCTATAAGTCTTATTATAACACTTGCAAATCTATGGAAAAATTGGAAACCTCGTTGGAAACCAAAGAACTGACAAACTTTCTAATAGAAAACAGTATCCTTCCGTCTTCACAGCATCATTTTTGCCTAAAAGATCAACTGAAACTAACAACTAACCTCTATCTAGCGTGTTTCGACTAGTATATACCTACCCATTGACGTCATATACCTAGACTTTGAAAAGGCTTTTGATAAAGTGCCAATCAATCGTATTGTGACGCAGCATGTACAGAATCAAATCAGAAATCTAGAATCTACTGCCTTATTCAGGAAAACAGATTTTGCTTTTTTCTTCTTCTGGATTTTACGGAAAAAGATTACGGATATACAGTGTGTCCACTTAAGTTCGCAGCATATGGGAAACTTTTTTATTATTAATTATACGAAAAAAAGTTATTCTTCATAAAAGTTTCTGCTTCTTGGAAAAATAATATTGAACTATTAAAACTTGAAATAGCATGTATGTACAGGGTGATCGGAAAATAGAAAAATATACAGGGTGTTTCCTAAGTACGATTCATAATTTCAGGATGTGACTCCTTACAATATTTTAATAAAAAAAGTTCCCATAAATATTTGTCTGGAAAAGCGAAATTTCCGAGATACAGGGTGTCAAAGTTTAAAAAAAAATTTATAGCTCAAAAACCCCTTCCTTGATTTTCGATAAACTTGGCAGATTTTTTTGTAATAACAAAAGGTATCATTTGACTCAATTGAATGTATTATGAATTGCTTAATCTAAAAAAATAATCAAAGCTATTTTTTAGGTACTTTTACCAACCAAATTGCCCTCTGTGGCGCCACTGGCATAGTAACGGTAAATCTAAAATCTAATTGAGTCAAAAGATACCTTTTGTTATTATAAACAAATCTGCCAAGTTTATCGAAAATCGAGAAAGGAGTTTTTGAGCTATAATTAAAAAAACGATTTTTTAAAAAAAAAACTTTGTCAAAAATTACGCATTTCCGGACACATCGTTTATGGGAATTTTTTTTTCTTAAAATATTCTGGGGAATAACATCCTGAAGTTACGAACCGTACTTAGGAAACACCCTGTACATTTTTCTATTTTCTGACCACCCTGTACCTACATGCTATTTCAAGTTTTAATAGTTTAATATTATTTTTCCAAGAAGCAGAAACTTTTATGAAGAATAACTTTTTTTGGTAAAATTGATAATGAAAAAGTTTCCCATATGCTGCGAACTTAAGTGGACACACTGTATAAAGGCTGGGTATAATTAGTTATTAAGTTTAAGATTGGCTGTGATACGTTTTAGGTTAAGATAGTGATTATCAGTAGTAATATAACAAGTGCAATGAAAATTATCGATAATTTTTGGGAAATTTGCCCTAATGCATAAGTGCACGAGTGCTTTTTTCAGTTAAAAACGCATGAGTGCAAATTTCTCAAAAATTATAGATATATTTTCATTGCACGTGTTATATTTTATAAGAAAATTTCCTGAATCATAATAGTTGTTTTTCACTAGGGACCTTGTTCAATCAATAAATTGGTCAAAAGTTTCATTTAAAAAATAATTCCGAATTTGTAATAATGATAAAAGTATCGAAGACGAGGGGGAAACCACCTTAGAATTTTGGTGTACAAACAAATCAGGTTAAAGGGGACTAACAAATAAGCACACAATATACAGGGTGTTCCATTTTACAAAATATAACTTCATGCTGCTGCACTTTTTTGACGCAGCCTATATGTCTAAAACTAACTTAGTTAAAGACTTTTGACAATTTCCTAAAACTTTTGTATTTGACACTTCTGTCCAAAACGTCAAATGATAAAGTTAGCAGGGGGTGACATTTATAAGAGGTAACCCTGTACAGGGTGTCCGAATTTGGATGGTTTTAATAGGAAACGTCAATTTCTGAGCGAGATACAGAAAAATGAACCCCCCACTCCAAGGCTCAAATTTCTTGAAATTTTGATTGGTGTAAACCACATTTTTATATCTTCAACCGTTTAGCCGCTAGAGGGCGATTCTCGATTTTGAGCAATACTGTGAAATCTTCATAACTTTTTTCTTTATGAAAATAACTGATTTCCGTAAAAACTTCCTAGAAGCACTTTTTCAAGCAGAATTCAGTGACGTTTTCAGTTTTTTTCTATTGGGCCTCGACTCCAAGATATTGACCAAAATCTGATTTTTTTCAATGGGACACCCTATATATTAATAGCTCTCTAAAAAGCTCTACTTTTGCTGATTTCAATGATATAAATTTCGATAAGTTTATTTCTAACAGTTTTCGAAAATAGTATATTGTTGTATTAGGAGTAGAAGCTTTACTTTTTTGTGCTGAAGCAGTAGGTTTGCGAGCCGAACGTAGTGAGGCTTGCAATACTGCTGAAGCACAAAAAAGTGCTTCTACTCCGTATGCAACACGCTATTTTTTCTCCAGACGAATGTGGTAAGCTCTGGGGTAACTTAATGGTTGAGCGGCAGTAAAAGTACGAGCGGCACTAAAAGTACTTTTACTGCCGCTCCAGCGGCACCCAAAGTACTTTTGCTGCCGTTGGGGTTGCCAAGCAGCATAGAAATTAAATTTCTTCCACCTCGACAGGTGTTAACCTCCTGGATTTGCCTAGCAGCATAGAAATTGAATTTCTACCATCTTGACAGGTGTTGACAAAGTGATGTTTTTTTGACGTTTGGAGAAAAAAAAATTATTTCGTATTTTTCCATAAGAAACAATGTGTTAAAAAAGGTCTTTATATTTGTAAGGAAAATGAGAAAGGTCTCTTTCTAACTCATTGTTTTTTATGACAAAAACCAAAATAGTTTTTTTTTTCTGGAAAACTGTTAGAGATAAACCCTTCGAAATTTATATCATTGAAATCAGCAAAAGCAGAGCTTTCTAAAGAGCTATTAATATATAGGGTGTCCCATTGAAAAAAATCGGATTTTGGCCAATATTTTGAAACCGAGGCCCAATAAAAAAAAAACTGAAAACGTCGCTGAATTCTGCTTAAAAAGTGCTTTTAGGAAGTGTTTACGGAAATCAGTTATTTTCATAAACAAAAAAGTCATGAAGATTTCACAATATTGCTCAAAATCGAGAATCGCCCTCTAGCGGCTAAACGGTTGAAGATATCAAAATGCGGTTTGCACCAATGAAAATTTCAAGAAACATGAGCCTCGGAGTGGGGGGTTCATTTTTTTGTATCTCGCTCAGAAATTGACGTTTCCTATTAAAACCATCCAAATTCGGACACCCTGTACAAACTGATAGAATTTTTAGAATTTTTTAGAATTTTTCAGAGTTATCAGTATTTTTTTGCATTTTTTAGTATTTTCTAGCAATTTCTAGAATTATTCAGGATTTTTTAGAATTGAACTAGAATTTTTTAGAAATAATTTAGAAATTTTATCTATTGCGCATGCTCAAGAGCCTGCCCAATTTGTTGGAATTTTTGAAATTTTTAGAATTTTTAGAATTTTTTGAGACAATAATACCTAACATGAAAATTAGCATTTTTCAGAATTTTAGAATTTTTGGTGTACAAAATTAGGTAGGTGGATTCCCCCTCGATCGAAGACCTTACGCCGATCAATACGAAGAGATCACAAACGTCGATTTGGAAATATTCTAATCTACTGTATAGAAAGC